CCACTGACGGAGGAAAAGTACAAAATAAAAACTATTTTTCTCGTCTCTGTTGGAGCTTTTAATCCATTCAGCGTCTGCTCACAAGTTCAGAGCTGCTGAAGTCTGACTGCTGCTTTTATACTGCCAGCACACACTCTCTCACACACACACACACACTCTCTCACACACACACCTCTCTGTCTCTCTCTCTCTCTCCTCTCTCTCTCTCTCTCTCTCTCTCTCTCTCTCTCTCTCTCTCTCTCTCTCTCTCTCTCTCTCTCTCTCTCTCTCTCTCTCTCTCTCTCTCTCTCTCTCTCTCTCTCTCTCTCTCTCTCTCTCTCAATTTTTACATCAATTTTGTTTGTTTTTTTACGATAAACTCAAAACATCAAAACTAAATTTAATTTTTATTCAACTTAGATTTTTATTTAATTTCTATTTACTATTGTATTGATTTTTTAAATATATTTTTAGATTTTACTGACAAACATTTGGCATTTTATTTTCATCTTTTATTTCAAACTCAAAACTATTTTATTATCACATTACAACATGTTCGTGTACTCATACTAGACATCTTTGTGCATCATCTATTTCTATATCTATTTAATACAATCTTAATCTTAATAAACAATAACAACAAGTGAAGTAAACTAATAGTATATATAATTTAGACAACACATTGTTTTTTTCCTTTACAAATTGAAGTTAAACTTGTCAGTGCCCTCTGGTGGACAAAGTCTGTCACGACATCCATTTCATTTCATCGCTTTCTATCACATGACCTTTATTAAGATATTAAAATACGCCCAGTTGTCCTGCCTCTGATGGTATTCTGTATTAACAAAACAAAAGCAATCATAGTGAATTGTTTAGACTCTCTAATAGTGCTAATATAGGAAGCTTTTGTATTGCTTTGTTGGTCCAAATGAACTGCAAGAAGGCAAATAATGATGCATGTATTTTAAGATATTTTACTGTCATACAGCACAGCAGGGGGTTGCAGTGTGTAATTAAATTCTTACGTTCAGCTCTGCACACTTTAACATGAAGAAACTCTACTTGTGATAAAAACCAGCAAACTACTGAAGCTGACATTCATTAAAAAAGACAGAGAATTTACGTATTATAAAATAAATAAGACGTATCAGCAGGGTAGAGTATGGTGTATAAATATATAAATATGCAGAAGAATAGATAACAGTATTTAATCAAAGTGTGTCGATAAAGTACATGTACTCATGTACTTTACGTAAGTACAATTTTGAGGTACTTTACTTGAGTATTTCCATTGTTATGCTACCCTGTAATTCTACTCCACTACATGTATTTAATACCTTTAGTTCGTACAAGATCTGAGTACTTCTACTTTTACTCAAGTACAAGATCAGAGTACTTCTACTTTTACTCAAGTACAAGATCTGAGTACTTCTACTTTTACTCAAGTACAAGATCTGAGTACTTCTACTTTTACTCAAGTACAAGATCTGAGTACTTCTACTTTTACTCAAGTACAAGATCTGAGTACTTCTACTTTGGTTTTATGTAATCTTCTACAGATCTCTCCTCTGCTGTTCAGAAAGTGATGATGAAGATGAAGAGGATCCAGTTGAATTAAACTGTACATTGAAAATAAAACCAGGTTAAAAAACAAAATGCGCGACCTCTGCTGACCTCAGTGTGTCCTTCAGCTGTGTCCTTCAGCTGTGTCCTTCTGCTGTGTCCTTCAGCTGTGTCCTTCAGCTGTGTCCTTCAGCTGTGTCCTTCAGGTGTGTCCTTCAGGTGTGCTCAATAAAAAGCTCTTTAAAATCTCTCTCTGTCCCTTTTTCACTTCCCTATAATAAAAAGTCCAGACTGCAGGTAATGGTTACATCCATTATCATTTTTATGATCAATAAAGGCTTTACCGAGACAGAAGATAAGAAACAGCAACATTTCATATTTTAGAAACTGGAACCAAAGACTTCTCTGCATTTTAGAAATACAGGATTTATTGCAATTTCTTTGTCCAGCGATTACAATACAAACGCTATTATAAACATATGATTACAGTTATAAATAATAGGCAACAATATATTAGACAATATTAATATTTAAGGTAAATGAACATCCTGTTAAATAAATATTGCCAAAGCAGAAGAATAAAAGCACACACAGGCTCCGTTAGTCTGACAGGAGCAACGTTAGCTCCAGTGTTTATTTCACACTTCTATAACGAGGTTAAACTGAGCGGTGCAAAGTAAAAATAAACATTCAGAGTGTGAGGAAGACATCAGAGAACAGACACCAATAAAAACACACTGTAAGAAAATACATTACAGCACATTGGGAGCTACAAGTTTGGTGAAATCATATGTTTAAATATATAATAAGCAATATCTTAGCAAAGGCTAATTTCCAGAAAATATTCTCCATCACCACCGCTAAGCTAAAGGCGGCTAATATTGGGCTATAAAGGAACGACAGCACGGTCACATGACTTCACGTCACCACCGCTAAGCTAAAGGTGGCTAATGTTGGGCTATAAAGGAACTACAGCATGGTCACATGACTTCACGTCACCACCGCTAAGCTAAAGGAGGCTAATGTTGGGCTATAAAGGAACTACAGCACTGTCACATGACTTCACATCACCACCGCTAAGCTAAAGGAGGCTAATATTGGGCTATAAAGGAACTACAGCACGGTCACATGACTTGCAGCTAATGTTGGGCTATAAAGGAACTACAGCACGGTCACATGACTTCACGTCTCCACCGCTAAGCTAAAGGAGGCTAATGTTGGGCTATAGAGGAACTACAGCACGGTCACATGACTTCACGTCTCCACCGTTAAGCTAAAGGAGGCTAATGTTGGGCTATAAAGGAACTACAGCACGGTCACATGACTTCACGTCACCACCGCTAAGCTAAAGGTGGCTAATGTTGGGCTATAAAGGAACTACAGCACGGTCACATGACTTCACGTCACCACCGCTAAGCTAAAGGTGGCTAATGTTGGGCTATAAAGGAACTACAGCACGGTCACATGACTTCACATCTCCACCGCTAAGCTAAAGGTGGCTAATGTTGGGCTATAAAGGAACTACAGCACGGTCACATGACTTCACGTCACCACCGCTAAGCTAAAGGTGGCTAATGTTGGGCTATAGAGGAACTACAGTACGGTCACATGACTTCACGTCACCACCGCTAAGCTAAAGGTGGCTAATGTTGAGCTATAAAGGAACTACAGCAGGGTCACATGACTTCACGTCACCACTGCTAAGCTAAAGGTGGCTAATGTTGGGCTATAAAGGAACTACAGCACGGTCACATGACTTCACCTCACCACCGCTAAGCTAAAGGAGGCTAATGTTGGGCTATAGAGGAACTACAGCATGGTCACATGACTTCACCTCACCACCGCTAAGCTAAAGGTGGCTAATGTTGGGCTATAAAGGAACTACAGCACGGTCACATGACTTCACGTCACCACCGCTAAGCTAAAGGAGGCTAATGTTGGGCTATAAAGGAACTACAGCACGGTCACATGACTTGCAGCTAATGTTGGGCGTGATGACGTTTAGTCGTCTCATTTAGACACATTTTGAACGTGGTAGAATTAAAATCTCCTCAGCTTGTGTTAACCAAAGATTTCAGGTGCTGGAGTCCTGACTTATTTCTCAGGTTTTCTTGCACATCTCTTTAGCTGCAAGTACAATCAAAGTGAGATGTTGTGCATGAATCACGGCGAACATCACACCCACACTGAGCAGGTTGATCGTGCTGAGTCACATGAAGATGAACCTGCTGACCTTCCTGCAGGCTCTGCTCTCTGAAGGTAGCACAGCGTGGACACAGGGCTGAAACCAGACTCCTGAGGGAGAGACTTCGCTCTGTGAAGCTTTGAGGGGTTCGATGATCCTGAAAAACCTCCTGCTGCTGCTGAACATGAATAACAACCGGTCAGAGGAACGTCAACATGTACAGATATTCCTCCTGAAACTGCAGGCTGTAGATGAAACTAGCCAACAGTGAGTAAAGGAGGTAAAATCCTCTACAGCAGAATGATGAATATATGTGGAAAATGTTGGCTAGAAAATGTTTACAAAAAAATCTAAAACAATGTATAAGAAAGGCCAGAAAAATGTCTTAAAAAAGTCTAAAACATTTTTCAAAACATTTCTAGAAAATATGTAAAACATGTCTTAAAACATGTCAAAGAAATTAGAAAAGATATTTCTAAACATACCTCAAAAAATGTCTTAAAATCTCCTCCAAAAGATATTCCTCCTGAAACTGCATGCTGTAGATTAACAGTGAGTAAAGGAGGTAAAATAATCTACATCAATATGATACAAATATGTGAAAAAGTGGAAAAATACCAAAAATAAATGCCAGAAGCAGGTCAAAAAGAACGTCTAAAAAATGCCAGAATGCTTCTTTAAAAAGTCTAAAACATGTCTTAAAAATGTCAAAGAAATTAGAAAAGATATTTCAAAAAATGCCTCAAAAAACTTCCAAAAACCTCCTCCAAAAGATATTCCTCCTGAAACTGCATGCTTTAGATTAAACTAGCCAACAGTGAAAGGAGGTGAGATCATCTAGATCAGGGGGGTCAAACTCAAATACACAGTGGGCCAAAATAAAAAAATGGGTACTAGTCGAGGGTACCCATTTCTGTACGCGGACCCCTAGGGGTACGTTGGAGTACTGCAGGGGGTATGTGAGATTTATTTTATGTTAATGAAAAAAAAAAATATATATATTTTAGGAAAAGTTACGAAGTTTGAGCAGTGTGGGTTTTATATTAACAGAGTTCATATTTCAAAAGCGAAGTGTAATAACTGCAGTGGCCTTCCTGTCACTGAGAATGACAAAGATCCTCAGTGAAGCACAAGCACATGTTTCTCACTAAAT